CCCCAAAACCCCAAAACCCCAAAACCCCGGGACGGTTACGGCAGATTGAAGGTATTTTTGGGAATTTGTGATGTGATGGTCAGTGAGAGAGGTGAGGCATGGAAATTTGGGGGATGAGGAAGAATAGGTATTTTTGGGTGGTGGTGAGTGGAGTTGAGGATTGGGAGGGTATTAAGAGGAGTAAGGAGAGTAGTAAGGAGAGGAGCTTAGGTCATTTGAATTGGGAAGCCTGGTATTAGGACATTTTAGTGATGTGCTATTGTGATTATTAGTTTTAATGGATTAATAGTTCACAGCTCATTTTATTTCTAAAATTTAAAATCTCATACTCTTTTATTGCTTATAGATTTTGATCTTATTATTCTCAGAGGTAAAATTTGGTGCTAAAATTTGCTGGAAACCTCTTAAGGTTGTTATTTAAGGATAGGAAAAGGTAGAGATCAAAAGGTTCATATAAGCATCCAAACCTAAATTTAGTGGAAAAATTTCCGCTAAGTTTTTCAAAACTATATCCATTTATTGGAAATAAACTAAATTGATTGAAGTAAACTGTCAAGTCTGCTAGGAATCTTAAAACGAAGCATAGTTCAAAAGTCATGGCTAATAAAAATAAGAGAAATTTTAGGGATGGAAATCTCAGTAAACGTCAATTTAGAATCAATTTTAATTGCAATATTAAGAATCATTTTCTGAACCTAAAATCCTTCTTTAAGCTAACTTACCAAGCAAAACTCTCAAATAATGATCTACTTCAATATTGACAAAGTCTCAAATCAAATTTGGTAGGCTAATACTGCTATGAATAAAAAATAATTTAAGACATTTAAGCCATATAAATCCTCTAATTCTTCCCATTCAGAATTTTCTTTCTGGCACAAAGGCAATATTTCTTCCCAATCCTTACCTTTTCCTCCAAAATTTCAGCCTACTCTTTTACCATATCAAAAACAACCAAGTGCACCTCGGAGAACTCAAAGCAGTCTTCTTTCCAAGACCTGAGCTTGATAATTCTTCTTAAACTTCCAATCCTACAAAAAAAACTCGTACCATCGATTTATGTACAAAAATATAGAGAGGCTCATCAAGAACACTTCAGAAAGAATGAAGAGGTAATAGAAGATTTTGTAAACGAGGATTTTAATGCTTTATGAGAACTAGAAAATATTAATCTGGCAGAAGACTTAAGAAATTTTGATCAATTATGTGGAAAGAAATATATAGATCAAATTTAGAGCCAGAAAGTAATGGAGCTATCTAAATTGTTTATGGTAATCCTTTTAGAAAGTTTTATAGATCAAAAGGAAACATTAAATGCAATTTTAGAATATTTTTTATTATTTGGGATTTCACATTTGAGGAAGAATTATTAGCTTTGATTAGAAATCATTTAAAATTTTTATTTAATTTTTTAATAAATCCTGCTTACGTAAGTAACCGAAGTATGAATTTTTTAATAAAATCAAGATCAATTCTGATTAAATCTTCTAAAGATAGCTAACTAATTTCTAATGATTGCATAGTGAATTCTCAAGTGCTCTCCCATGGTTTAGGGATTGCCAAAAAATAACTCTTCACTTTAATTTGTCTTTCATAGCACCTAAAAACATGCTACTTCGTCTTACTCTATTATCAACTGCATCTCTAAGCAAAGGTAACTTTTATCAAATAACCAGGCAGTCCAGGCTTCTCCTCTTCTAGCACTTAAACCCACAATTAACATGGCAAGATGTATTTAGGAACCTTGTTATAAAAATTATTAAGGAGCCTGGTTGACTGACTTCTTTCTACTGTTTCTAAAACTGTTCAGATCTTTTCTGCGGTGGAAGTCGATTAGTATCTGGACCATATTACGAAGATCTGATATTGTCTTTCCTGGAAATTCATATATAACTTTGTCGTAGTCAATGTTTTGGTATTTGTAGGTCTTCAAAATCTTCTTCAGTAGTGTCATTTCTCTGAAAGAAAACTCAGGGGTTCATAAGGATTTTATCCGAGTAAGAAGTTTACTTGGAGAAGACTTCCAACCAGATCTTTCACAAAGCTGTTGGATCTCAATATAATCTTTGAGCTTTTTGTCTGAGTCTGGGTTCAGAAATTCATGAAGAGTGAGTATCTCTTCTTGCTCCATATCTCTAATAGTCTGAAATAGAATTTTATCTTGCTTTCTTCCCCACCTCGAGCGAGGAGTTTTACAAGCCTTGGCTGGACTCTTTTGTCTTAGAAGGTCAGAGACCGAAGTACTGAGAAGTGAAACTTGATAAGTCTGACTATTGCTAACCTCAAGCTTATGAATCTTTTCATTTTCTTCAAACATTCGGTAGTTATGAGTTTTTGGAAGTTTGAAGATATCATCTTTTTGGAATCATTCATCAAAGATATTTAATGATGCATCAAACAAAGCTGATGAAAAATTCAGCCTGTGAAGTTCTGGAAGTCCTGGGATGACACTTGGAACACACTCTGGTATTTCAGGACTTTCTGAATCATTTTCTGAAAAATATTGGCCTATTTTCAGGTTACTTTCGGTTTGAAGGAATTAGGAATCAAAGTAATCTTTCAATTTTTAAGAGTAAATAAACATTATTTTATAAATTCAGGAACCATTTCGTGGTATCTATCATGAGAATGCCAAAAATTGAGCCAAAGATATTTATATAAAAACATACCACACTTGGCCGAATATTTATGCATTACTTCCAAATCTTAACAATTATGTTAAAAGTTTTCTTAAAATCCACCAAAAGATATTTATCACAGTAAAATAAGTTTAAAAGCCCATAAATCAAATCAACACTAATTAAAACAAGTCCAACCCCCACCCCCAACAGAAGAACCAAAACCATTTCAACATCCAGCACCCCTCACATAAGTAAAGCTCTAAACTCCTACCAATCCCTTCTTCTCTTCCCCTATGTCACCATTCCCATTCCTCTACCCCTACCTTGTACAGCTCCTCTATAGTTTAAAAATCTCCCCAAAACCAGCTGGTTCAAGGCTTACCTTTACTGTGGTAGTAATCGAACATTTGTAAAATATTACTAAACTTCAATCTAAGCGTTCTTTATAGGGGTTTTGGGGTTTTGGGGTTTTGGGG